TCTGCGGACCCAGCCTTTCATGGCTGCTGGTTTTGTGCTGCCTTCTCGTTTCGTTTTGTCTTAGGTTTGTTCAGTTTAGCTTAGTGGGCATGAAAGGGCTTGTGTTTAGGCTCAGGGTTCGAATGGTTGCGACCCCTTGCTAGTGTTTGTTTTACATTGCTCTTCTGACCGTCAGTCAATACTGAGGTTTCAACTTGCAGGGTTTCCAGTGTGGGGTTTAGGATATTAGGCTTAAGGCTTTGCAGGGTTTGGGATTTGGGATGCATTAATTAGACTTGTGTTTTGAAGGACTTCAGCACTGTTGGGGTCTGGGGTCGATGTTGGGGATTTAGGGCTCCAACAGCCCTTCAATTTTGCGGTAGCCGTTTGTTTGCAAGTTTTGGCTTCTCCTGTTCGAGCGCTGCCATCTGCTAAAGGTGGCTTTTGTGTTTTTTGCAGCCCCTCTTTTCCATCCGCCAAGGTAAAGGTGGCTTTAGTGCTTAGGGTTCTATGGGCTCAGGGGTGTTTAGGGTAAGGATACCCCGTGTTTATCAAGTCAAGATCCTGAGAATTCTGCATGGTTTGTCAAGCCTTGGTGCGCATCACCTTGCTGCTTCAACTGTTCAGAATTTCAGTTTTTGGTCCGAGGCTTGGTGCAACAGGGTGAGGTCGTGTCAGCTTCTCTTACCACCAGAAGGCGGTCAAACGGTCATGCGAGCCGGCCTTGTGCACAGGCGCTGATGGCTGCATTGTAGGGTATCTGCGACATCTGCAAGCCTCCCACGAGCGAAGCTCACAGGAAGCTTGAAAAAAACCCGCTGGCAAGGTTTTCGGCCAAGCCGAAACACTACGTCACATGCAGGAAAAACAATCATGACACCATAAACCTTCTCATCCACTCTCTCCTAACATCATGCAACCTTTCTGCTCCCCCATCTCCAAGAGGTGCAGAGCCTCAGAGCGCAGACAACGCGGGCAGGCTGCAGCCCAAAGAGCCAAGGCTTCGAAACCAGGGAGCCAACTCCCACCTTCCGCTCCCCTCACAGGCACTGATGCAGGAGCCAAAAGAAATGATGTCTGGAGCCAAGCGGAACTGCATTGCCTGTGGTATGCTCGTGGTGCAACAGCACAAAGCCCCGTGATACACTTGGAAAAAGTTCTGTCAAGCAGCCTCGTGCAGGACTTGAATCGCCAGGTCCCAGCGCTCGACTACTTCAGCCGCATTCATTGCGGCATTGTAACCTTATCGACTTCATGAGCCATCGCGAGTTCGATTACAGGACACTCAGGTTTCAACAAGACGTAGCTGGCTGCGAGTGACTTTCAGCAAAGTCAAGACCCTGTCTAATCTACTTAAGTGGGGTGCTGCTAGGTACGTGAAGTTTTCCCGGCTTTGGGGTGTAAGTCGTCGGTCATTCAGGAAAGCCTCGAAGATTCGCAAGAACCGGCAGGGGAAGTCATGTTGGTAGCAATCTCTCGTTCCCCTGCTATCGCCTAAGCTTTGTTGGGACGAGATTTCCTTTGGCGTAGCTTGGCTCATCTTGGCCAGCGGGCTCCATTTTGGATTCGCCATCAAAAAGTATGCATGTGTAGTTGTTGTAATTATCTCTTCATCAGGCAAGTCGACGGCTCATACGAGAAGAGCTTTTTTGAAACTAGTAAGATCAACATAAAGAGATGATGACCTCTGCGATTGACCAAGGCGCTGATCACTTTGGCTTGGTGTGTCGGCCTCTGACTATATGCGTCTTGACCCAGAAGGGGTCTGTGAAAAAATGAGCCATGGCAACTATGACCCATGGCAAGTGTAGGGAGGAGCCTGACTGGCGACCTTGTTCACCTTGTTCCAAACTCCACACAATGTCCGACAAACATGCTTCATGAATTGCAGGTGTCGCGCCACCAGCTGTACGTATGCTTCGAGCCAAGCCACTCCAGAGGTCAGGCCGAAATGACTGGCTCTTCATCCACCCAAGGATGCCCAACGCCATCTGCCATTGCTTGCACGTTCCACAGGCTGTAATTGCCTCGCAAAATCTCACAAAGGCACCTCGCGAATGCCAGAACTCCTTGTATGGGCGATGGCAAATGCTGCTTGGTCCCCGGCTGCGTTGTAGCCCACAACGTCCGCCTCATGGCCTGGCTGAACAGGGCTGCACATGCTAAATCGCAGAATGCATAGACGCAAAGTGACAGGGAGCCATTCACGAACCAAGCAGCTTCTGAGAAGCAAAAGCGCCACCGGCCAGGATGCCTTGCTGCCACGCAGAGCGGCGCCAAGACTGACGGCATCCAGGGGCTGAGCGCTATGCCTTGAAGTGCTTTGCTTCTTTGCTTCTGAGCTTGAACCTATCAGTGCATTCTGCGCCGAGAGGCTCCATTCGCTCGAGCTGCTCCAAACCTGGCCGTCACTCACTTCGAAAGATCCTGAATGCTTGCAGATTATCCTGAACGCCCTAACAATTGCAACCGCGGAGCACATGAACCACTGCTCCGCCCGGGCGCATGCCGTGATGCATGCGCTGCAGCCTCGCTAACATGATCTTGTTCGGTGCCTCGTATCAAGTAGGACGACTTCCCTGTGTGTGCGTACGTGCTGCTGAAGGCATTCCGGCGGAGCCTGTAGTCCTCCATTTCCTTAGCAAGTTTCTAGCTTCTGCAGCTTGCTTGGCCAGTTCCTGCTCATCTGCCAAGGTTGTGGTTTTGGACTGGAGTTCAGCCAAAATGTCATCCAGCAGCCATAGTGCCTGCTGCCAGTTTGCGCTGCAGCCACATTCCTTGATGCATGCTGTGCATCGGCGCAGGCGCACCTAGCGAGGTCCCTTGCTCCCCAAGCACCATCAAACACACTGCAGGCCTCTGGCAGCGCTTGCGCCAACAACCCATGGAGCATTGCTGGCATGCAATATGCAAGCTTTGATTTTGATGAAGAAGATGAAGACCGGACATAATTTTGGACATTGACATGATTTTTTCTGCTGCCCTTTGCAATGAAAGGCAAACATCATAAGAGTCGGGCACCGCCACAAGTCTGGACTGCTTAATCGATTTACTTCCCCTTGATGCTTTGGTGTGCCTGGATCTTCGTGCCAGAAAAGGAGCTGCGACATAAGCAAAAAGGACATACGGCCCTGAACGTGGTCTGCCGGCGTGCAATCTAAACTCACAAACATGTGTAATTGTAACGCAGTCATCAAACGTTTGAGAAGGAAGGCTTCGACGCTTGCATCCGACCAATCGCCATGGTGAGCCTCTGTGTCCACGAAGCGATATCGCGCACGAGTGCCCTTGCTGCAGGTCCTACATGCAATGAGTGTCCCATCACCATGCACAGTCACCGACCCGTAACTCCCACGACAGATGGCTTTTCAATCCTGGAGCAGGCAGTCCACTCATTCCAGTCCTGCAGATCAGAGGGTAGCTCCTAACCGGAAAGAACAACTGAAATCATGAGGGGCTCCCCTGCGAGTCCCAAGCTTGCCAGGGTCGGATGCCGCCCGCTTTCTTGGCCCCCCCCCCCCCGGGGTGGCTGCCATTGGACAGGGGGTTCCCTGCCAGGTCCCACGCCATGCCTTGTTTTGGAGAGGGCCCCGCTGCATCCGCCAGACATGCTTTTGGACAGCAAACGGAATGGCTAGACCAACAGGGTGGCCACCTCTCAGCGTTACAATCCGTCAAATGCTGCCTGCCTTTTCGGAGTGACTTGATCCAAACGGGTGAAGTTTTTTTTGGTACCATGTTTTGTTTAATAGTTCTTTTTTGGGCTGGGGGCGTGGAATCGAAGGACGCCTCACACAAGAGCGCGATTCTGAAACAAAAACTGTGAAGACTGATTAGAAATCATGAAGATCATGAAAATGTTGCAAATGATAAAAAAAATCTGAAGAGATGATGAAATTGATAGAAAATGATCAAGCAAGATGAAAAATAGTGAGACATTAGGAAAATTGTAGGTAAAAATCTGAAAATTATGAGAAATGAAAATGAAGAAAGTCAGGAAACATAATGAGAAGTGTTGAACAATGATAACAAATGAATCATAAGGAAAAGTAATGAAAATGATAGAAAATGATCAAGAAAATCGTGAAAATAATGGAAAAATGAAAATTGTGAAAAGGTCGAGGATGAAAATGATGGAATGCGAGGAGAACGATAAAAAAAAAAACAAGGAAACCTGATGTTGAAAAATCATGGAAAATTATGAAAAACAGCGAAGATGATGAGAACATAAAGCATGGATGGCATTAAAAAAAGGCGGGTTGTGGGGGGGAGGGGGGGGGTGGAGTGGATTTGCAAACACACTGATCTACATAACTCCAGCAAGTTTGGATGGCCGGGGGAGGGGGGAGGGATCATGGAAAGTAATGAGATGAGTTCAAAGGATGACAGTGGCAGGCATGGATGGCCGTTGCAAAGGCGGGGGGTGGGGTGGGGGATGCGCAGCACTCCCGATTTGCAAACAAAATGATCTGCATAACCCTCCCTTACTGATCAACAACAACAACAACTACTACTACTACTACTACTACTAAACTACTACTACTACTACCACTACTACTACTACTACTACTACTACCACGACGACGACGACTACGACGACGACTACGACTACTACTCCAGGAAGGTACAGAAAGCGAGAAACCGCGGAGCTAAGAATCGAAGAAGCCAGACAGCCAAGAAGCCAAAAAGCCAACCCAAAAAGCCAAGAAACCAACGAGCCAAGAGGCCAAAAACCCAAGCAGTCAACATAAAGAAGGCAGAAGTCAAGTGTAAGTGATGAGAAGTATGGAACATGATGAAAATGATGAAAATTATGAAAATCATGGAAATGATGAAAATGATAGAAAATGATGGAAATCCTTGAAAATAGAACAATAATAGCAAATGATGAAAAATCATGAAAGTGATAGAAACTATGAACATAATAGAAAATGATTGATAACGATGGAACGGGCCAAAAGTCGAACACGCTCCACGCCAGGGCCAACAAAAAAAAAACTCCTTCACAAACCATCACACCGCTAGCAACGCTCCTCCCACGTGCAATTGACTGAGCAACCGCCCGGCGCGTTGCAGGCCACCGTCTCGGTCGGGAAGCCCACGCAGTCCTAAACAGTTGAGCTCACGAGCAGAACTCTTCAACCGCCATCAACGTGATCTTGGACTCCCTCGCCTCGCCAGCATTGAACGGGCCTGACTTGGTGCGAAGTCGTGACCTTGTCCTTGATCGCACAAGAACGTTCTTGCCGGCTGTCACTTTGGCTAGATGACAAGCGCCTAGCCTAGCCTTGCAAAACACAAAGACTGGTTGAGCCCAAAGCCCGGCCACATCTCCACCGCAGGGCTGTGTGCATGTGGTCCACTCACCCCAGTCATTCCTTCAAGGGCGTCTGGAAAGACTTCCCAATAATACCATGCCCTAGCCAAACGGAAGTACCTACCTTCAGAGCGCTGTCAAAGAACACGCTAGCATTCGCTGGCATCCGATACTCATAGCAGATATCCAGGTAGGAACCGTCTCTGAGCATGCGGCCAAGTACAATCTTCTGGGCAAGGCCTTACGATCAGAGGAGTACCGATAGAATGACTCAAGGAGGGTCAAAGCTTTGTCCGCAAGGTCTAGCATGATTTGACCTGTGAAAACCGAATCGTCATGCAGCGCAAGAGACTCCAATGAAGTTGCATGTCGCGAAGTGAGTCGATGCAGCTCTGCCAAGGCACACGGAGTTGCAGAACTCGGTCTGGACGGCACTGCCAACACATGATCCTCCGTAGGCAGCCTGGCAAACTTGGCCTTGCCTCTCTGTCATCGGTGCACCTCCATCAACATGCCAGGAGGCACCACGACCAGCTGAATCCTGTTCCGGAAAGCGATACCTGGCAGCTTGATCATAGTTTGCCTAGTGGAGGCTAGCAGCAATTCCGGAGCACTTCTAGCACTTCCTCGCCAGTTCTTCAAACTGCTGCTGGCTGTAAGCCAGATTTTGCTTTCAAGGACAAAACATATGCAAACCATGTGCCTTTGCCGCAGCTCTTGGTGCAGTTGCTCCAGCCACCCTGAGATTCGAGCAAGAGTCGAGGGCAACTGGGCACGAGGCTGTTTCTCATAAAAAAAAGGTTTAGGTTTGCCACCCAAAACTTGATGATCCATGCCCTATGGAACGGGGGGGTTGATCTATACCCTATGGATCGCTGCATGTCGCTGCGTATGAGGTTTTGGAACGACACGGTATGGAACCAGATCCATACCCTATATGGATCGGAATATGGAACGCATGTCGCGAGCACCTTGTCCCATACACAGACATTCTAGAAAACTCCACGTCAGCGGCTTGCAGCTTACCTGAAAGCAATTATCTGAGCATAGGGGTTTCTTGCCCGTAACGCACAGAGCTAAAACAATGCAAAAGCGCTGTAAGGTCTTGCACAGTAAGTTGGTTTGTCTCCATTATCATTTACGAGATTCAACATGATTGCTCAAGCATCTGAAGCCATGTCCCCCCAATACATTGGGTAGTCTTCGCGAAGCCTGATGGCTGCTCACATGATGATTCCATCTCACATGTGCCTGACAAACTTCTTTAAAAATGCCAGGGTTGCATGTTCACACGATTTCGATCACTTTGGATGTCGCGAGGCCCTGACCCAATCTCCCCAAATGCAGTCTCTAGGACAGCCCGCCAGCCCGCAAACCTGCCGCGTGCACCCAAAGGGAACGGCATCAATGTGGATGAGCACAGCATCAGCTGTGATAGTAGGAGAGATGTAGCCTCGTACTCCTCGTTCGACTCGTTGCATGGCCTTCCATAGGTCTCAGACGGTGCTGCTCATTGCCGCAAGACCAGCAAACAAGCGATTGTTGCCAACTATGGCAAGAAGCTCTCCTGATTTAGATGCAGCCAAATGGACGCCAACACGCACCAAAGATTCGCTACCCTTTGCGAATCACTGCGGAGCACCTGCCACCTTCGATCTCCGATTCTGCATCCCTGCGGCTGAGACCAACGTTGCGGATCCATTCCGAAAGAGAGCAGAAGCGGTCAGCTGTTCCTTTCTGGGGCCAAGCCTAATCCGCTTCCTCTTGCCCCCAGGACCGCAACTCTGCGAGCAGTCTGACCACTGCTGCCAATCCTTGGCTCATTTGGACACCAAACAGTCACGCGATTCTGCCCAGTGAGCTCCGGGCGTGTATTATGCAGTCTCGGGGACATCCTGAAAAGGGCAACAACCAGCTCCGTCAGCCGTCACAGCCTTCACACTTCTATCAACTCCAACCTTGCTGGGCACAAGGTTCAGACTCCTGCCCCGGTGGTTTACAGAAGAGCCAGACTCAATTAAGACAGTTGAGACATACGAAACTTGCCATCTCTATCATGTCCTCTGCATGTCCATCGCAATCAGCACCCTCTCCAACCTTCTCCACACTCACAGACCTGCAGGCTGAGCAAGATGCCTGCCGTTTCTTACTACACGCCTGGAAAAGTGCCGGGTTCTCTCACCTCTTGGCGACTGTTGCAGAGAATCTGAAGAGCCAGGAATCTCTTGCGCAAACAGCCGTGCTGGTGCTTCATCTCAGCAGCAATGCGGAGGCATCCTCTATTTTGCCTTGCTATACACCTAAGTTCACGCAGTGAAGAAGAAGCTAGTATTTGTTGCGCGCATGTTTTATGCACAAATTCTTGGGGCACGGAGATTTTATGACGGGCATCCGAACAGCAGGCACCCAGTGACTACGCACATGAGTTTCTACTACTCTTAGAGAGACAAGGTCCGCTCTTGGTGTGTACGGCTGTGCATCTGCAGAGCCTGTTAAAGGTGTGACCTCGCGTTGTGCTCTTCTATACGTCCTCAATAGCAGAGAAGCCCCAAGTTTCCCTGCCAAGCCCGGCAGCCTGCGCCAGCCTCAACACAGTCCTCACCCCTCAAACCTCAGAGCTTAAAGAGCTTCAAGCGCCTGCAACGAAACCAACAGCCAAAGAAAACCCCAAGAAGGATGTTCTTGTATGCCTCGAGGCAAGTGGTCTGGCCTGTTGCGAAACTGGAAGCCACTGTCGCAGGTCGCGCTGCAGTTGCCCCAGTGGCTCCACCTCAGTGACACTTGTCACGTGCGCAATTCCTTTTCCAGGTTCCCAGAATTGGGTGGGGGGAAGCCAACAACTGAATCTGGAAATCAAGTTCTCGACCTCAAGCACAGAAACAAGGTCTTGCGACAACTGCAGCCGCACCATGCGCAAATAAACATTTCCTAAACTTCCTCTAAATCTGAGCAAGCCACTCGCCCCATTGACAGTCCTGCAAATGCCGCAGCTGCAGCACAAAGCACGCACTGTTGGGCTCGTTTAGTTTAGCGAGTCACGAAGTTGTTCTTTCCAAACGAGCACGGAGAAGCACGTCACGTCTTCCCTTAAAGTCCGGAACACAGGAGGTGCAACGAAAGAGCACCTTCACCAGACGGAATTCATTACGAATTGGTGCATATGATCAATGAGCCAGGCTTGATGCCTGGCTCTGATGGGAAAGGGTACAGGCTGCGCCTGACAAGGCTACTGCGCACGCGACGAAATTGCAACAAATACGCTACAAGCTCTGCCAGCCACCTGCGGCCCCACAAATGCCAAAGAAGATTTGACATGGTTCCATTAAGTATCGCTGAGTTTATCACTACAACACACACCACGTCCGCATGGCCCGTGCATGGAGCTGGTGTAAGCCGCCCGGATGCTGGCATCCAGCGCGGCTCAGGGCATTATCTGAGCCAGCAGGCTCAATAATCTGCTTGACTAGTATCTCAATTATCTGAAGAAAAACGCTTATGCAGAGACTCTGTAGATAAGGGGGGTCCGGTGCGCATGCAGTTGCCTGTCCAGCACGCATCTTTCTCTAGTCGCCCGTCTGCCACGCATCTTCTATTTAGGATCCTAATTATGCGGTTTTCTGCGGCCAAATTCTAGGACTGGGTGGGGACAAGGGCTTATTGCCTTACGGTTTAGGGTTTTGGCAGTTAGGCTTGGGATCCAGGAGTTCGGGGTTTGAGGTCTTATAGGGGTTTAGGAGTTAAGATTTAGATTCAGGCGTTAAGGTTTAGGGCCTTGCGGCTTTTTCCCCAAAGCATGGTGAAGGTTTTTCAGTGGGGGTGGCTGTCTTTAGTTGATGTTTCATTTGTTGGGATCATGTGAAGAGGTTGCTGCATGGCTGTCGTGAGGCTGTCGTGAGCCTGTTGTGAGGTTTTCGCGAGGTTGTCGTGGGGTTGCTCTATTGCTCTATGCGGCTCTACAGCCTAAACGAAACCAAGATGTTTTAAAGATCGGGGTGGGGCCTGCCGGGAACTGCCGCACCTGTCCAATATCGGGCTGGCGCTTGTGGCGTGATGCTGGCGCACTGAAAGTCCTCCGAATTCTGTCCGCGATCGACGTGTCAGGAGCGAGTCGGGAAACCTCCGTCGGGAACTCACGGCGATCGAGTCGGGAACCCCAAAGTGCGGGAGCGAGTCGGGAACCCACAAGGGGCGAGTCAGGAACCTGTGCCGGCGACGAGTCAGGAACTCCCGCTCCCTTACTACAGACGAACCAGCATGACCAATACGAGACCAAGACGACCGCATCAACACGACCAGACCAACCCAACCAGACTGACTCGACCAAGAAGACCAAAACGACCAAGATGACAGACACGGCCAACACGACCGACACGAGCAAGATTACCCACGCGACCGACACGAGAAAGACGGCCCACAAAACCAACACAACTGACACGACCAATGCGACCGACACGACGCGACACGACTGAAACGACCCACGCAACCAACACGACCGAAACGACCGAAATAACTGACACGATCGGCATGACCAACACGACCAGCAAAACCAACACAGCCGACTCAACCGACCCGACCGACACGAACCGACACGACCAGCACAACCAACACGACCGACACGACCAACACGACCGACACGACCGACACGACCCACACGACCGACACGACCCACACGACCAACACGACCGACCGACACGACCGACACGACCGACACGACCGACACGACCGACACAACCAACACGACCAACACGACGAACGCGACCGACACGACCAACACGACCGACACGCGCGACACGACCGACACGACCAACACGACCAACACGACTGAGACGACCGACACGATCAACGCGACCGACGCGACCAACACGAACCGACACGACCAACACGACCGACACGACCCATACCGACACGACCAACGCGACCGCCACCGCCGCGGCTGGTTCTCGCCGCTCACAGGTTCCAGACTCGCCCCTCGCGGGTTCCTGACTCGCGCCCCTCGGGGTTACCGGCGCGCGGGCTCCCAACTCGCACCTGCGGTACCGGATTCGCTTAACTTTCCGCGATCGGCGACCCTCTCAGTGGGCCCGGCGTGTGGCGATGCTGGCACGTCGAGAGTCCAATCTTCAAGCATAAAGTGGGCTGCGTACCTGAACAATTGCTGGAATCAACTGCCCTCTCAGTTGTCGCGGCGTGTTTGGTGCATCCTGCGATTCTGGTGCGATCAACAACCCTCCCGGTGTTCGCAGGGGTGTTGTGACGCTGGCCTGTGCAGCATCTTCCGAATTATGGCTAGGATCGACGACCCTCTCCGTGGCCCGGCATGTGGCAACGCTGGTGCGTGGAGCATCCTGGGAATTCTGGCTGTGATCGGCAACCCTCTCAGTGTTTGCAGCGTGTTGTGAAGCTGGCGCGTGGATCGAGCCTCGCAGTGGTCGTGGCGTGTCCGGACGCCGGTGCGCCATAACAACCCTAAACCCCGAAAAACGGGCGAGGAAACCCCAAAAACCGAAAACCCCCAAAACACGCAACCCTAACATACCCTAGAGCGCTGAAACCACAGACCCTAAACCCTAAAAGCCCAAACCGTTAAGCCCTGTATCTCATGGTTTCACAAACGGGCCATAGCTACAGACAGTGACTTCCTCCAATTTGGAAACGCAAAAGTTTGGAAACGCACACGACCAAGCTTGAGAGCCATTGGTTTTGGTCTCCACACACGATTCATAAGTGAACTAATTTCGTTTAGTTTAGAAACAACAGGCGTGCGCCCAATCTTTACTCCCTGGGATGTCGGGTCTTCATAACGGTTCATAGCTGAAGCATTTCTTCCTGTTTAGAAACAGGATATGTTGATAAGGATAACACTAGTATGAATAATGACAATAATAATTACGATAATAAACGCGCGCGGTTAACCAGTTGACTATACTATGAAAAATAAACGCGAAACCCTTAAACAGTAAGCCAAAGAATTTAAGGCTAAAAAGCCGAAACCCAAAAAACTTTAAACACCAATATAATCCCTAAAGCACCCTAAACCCTAAACCCCAAACACTGAAATCCTATACCCTGAAAAAAACCTATACCCGAAAAAACCCTTAACCCTAAAGGCCCCGAACCCTAAAAACACCAAAGCTAAACCCGAAACCCTAAAACCACAAACCCTAAAAACGCTAAACCCGAAAACCCTAAAGCCTAGAAAGCCCAAGCCTCAAAAAGCCTAAACCCTAAAAGCCCGAAACCCCCCAAAAACCCTGAATCCGACGCACTTAACACCCTAGACCCTAAAACCCTAAACCTAAAAATTCTACGCCCAAACCCAAAAAATCCAAAACCCTAAATACCCTTAACCCAAAACACTGTAAACACTGAAATTTTAAAAGCCTAAACTTTCGAAAGCCAAGTAAATATCCCAAAACCTGAGATCCAACCCTCGAGTGCCTAAACCTTAAAAAACAACTTAAAAACCCCTAAGCATTAAAAAAACGTAACCCTCAAAAGCCTTAACCCTAAAAGCCTGAACCTAAAAAGCCGAAACCCTGCTGTAAAAATCTGAATTTTGAAAATTAAAGTTCAACGCTAACTAGACCCGGGAAGCCGAAAAAACACTTAACCCGAGAACCTCACACCCTGGAAACCCTCAGCAACCCTGAACCGTGAAAAAATCAACCCTAAAAGACACTATAAGCACCAAAAATCCGAAGCCCTAAAAACACAAAACCCTACGAACTAACCACCCTGAACCCCAAAAAAACATCAAAAACCCTAAAAACGCTATGCCCTAAAGAACCTCAAAATCTAAAACCCTACAAACCCTAAACACTCATAGCCAAAAACCCTAAAATCCCTAAACCCGAAGAAGCCCAAACCCTAAGTCCCCAAAACCCTAAAAAACCCAGACCCTAAAAACCACAAACCCTGAACAATTTAAATCCTAAAAGCCCTAAACCCTGAACAAGCGCAAAGCTAATCCTAAACTCTGAACCCCAAACCCTAAAACCCTGTACCCTAAAAACCACAAACCCTAAAAACACTGAACAAAAAAACTCTAACAACACTATACCCTAAAAACGTTAAACCCTGAAAAAACTAAACACCCTGAATCCTGAAAACCCAACCACCCGTTTCTGGTGCACTAATACTAGCACTGGTACTAGTATTAGTACTTCTTAATAATACTTAGCAACAGGAATAATAGCAATTTTTCCGGTGAAACTCATAGTCGTCGTAGTAACAGAATGCAGAATGAAGTAGTAGGAATAGTAACGGGGGCGGCAATGGACCAGAGGAAGAAGCGCACACTGGACAGGTAAACGGGCGTACGCTCGACCCAACCTCCTCCTTGATAAGATGCGCAGCAGCTACGCTGTGCGCATGTGCGTCTGACAGTATAGAGCAAACAAGTTTGATGTACTAAAGACCACCTTCTTAGCAGCCAGTCTTGATCTTGGATATCTTTCTAAAGGCTGTTGCCCAAGAGAACCGAGACCGTGTTAGATCTCTGCTCCCAGAGGCGTTGCTGCTGGTGCTCTCACGAAGCACTGCAGCCGCTGCTTGGCCTGAAATGGGGTCCATACACTGAGGCTTGATGTAAGCAAGGTTTGAAAAGACGGGGGTTGCTTTATGTGGGGGTTCCGACAGCGCCTTCTGCACAGTGCTCCGGCGCAGGACGGCCAGTTTTTGGTCGAGCGCTGCCACATCAGGCCGCGCCTGGAAGCGACTTTTCAGGCCTGCAGAAATCACGAAGCGGGTGTCAAGCGGATGAGGCATAGGCCCGAGCAACTCCAGCTGAGTGCCGAACTTGCCATGCGTGTCATCACTGCATCCATTTGAGATTGCCAGCTGGCAGTCAAGCCCCTGTCAAGGACAATTACGACAAGGATCACAGGCTAGCCCATGTATGATTGCGTTTTGCTGTTCCTTTTGGATGAAAATCATTTTAGGTGCCATTTCTTTTGCGGTCTGTAGTGTTGGTTTTGAATGAGGCTTTGCCGGCAACGTGCCCAAAATGTGAGGACACTCCATGCAAGAGCTCAATTTCCAGCCCGAATTTGAGGATGCTCCACACGAGAGCTGGATTCAAGGCGCAAGAATGCTGAATGCGACTGCACAATTTCGTACCAACATGTGAGGATTCTGATTTCGTGTAAACCTGTAGGAGACATGACACTGCTAACAAAGATCCTGGATCCCATGAAGTTGCAGAGTGTTCTAGTTAAAACTGCAAGATGATTGACGTGCCTGTCAACATAGCTTCATGCGCTTGTCTGGCTCCAACAGAACTAGCAATAGTAAGAAACCTAACGGCAACAGCAACTAGAGTAATGAAAGCAATCCCCAACAAGAATCACAGTGATAGTCCGATTTCTTTTGCTATTACGATTTCTCATATGGATTACCAACCGAGATTTGTTCGCACCTTACTATTGCTCTTTCTAGAGCGCCAATCCGATTTTTGTCACTAAAGCTATGCCCTTTTTCTTTGTCTGCTGCTGATACTGCTAGGACATTGTAGGCTCTGAAACAATAAATAAGGGTTCGAGAAATGGCAACAGGAATCGGCCAGAAGATCCAGACTTGTGCATTGAGCACGACTGCAAGCGCTTGAGCTCGCCAGGGCCGTGTTGGCACAAAAAATAACCTCATCGCTCGCGCGAGAAAAGCTCGTATTGGCAACAAACAGGTGATCTGAACCCTGCAACAACTGGCGACACCACGAAAACCGTGTTTTTCTCGCAACTTTTGTACTGGTAAGTGGAAGGCATGAGACTGTCTCTTCTGAAGGACATTACTAAGCGCGAAATCTCTCCTCAAAGCCCCAACAGCTGCAAAGCCCACCCTGACATACTCAGAACAACAATCCTGTCGAGACTTTCTGTTCGCTCCAAATATATGAAATTCGCGAAGACTCCAAAGCTCGAAAACCCAGGTCCCGACCTGAAATCCCAAAACACATCACAAAAACAACAGAAAAGCGAAAGGTAGAAAACAAAGCTTAAAAAAATGAAAATGTAAAAATGCACTGCCAAGAGCCCTGGAAGCCTAAAACCCTGATCGCGAGAACCCAGCAACCAGCAACCTCTGCATCCTGAGAACTTCAAGCGAACTACATGTCGTGAAAATGCGGTCATAAGAATAGAACTGCGCCTAGCTAAAGGATTCCCGAGAAAAGCCCTCCCTAGTAATTAATAATATTTCTGACAGTCTGATGCTTAAGACTAGATACTACCACTACGGTCCTTGTCAATATGATGGGTGTTTCTGCTATACAACGTATGTATACTCTTTGGCATCTCTCCAGCCCAAAGGGCCAATGCGGGGGCAGCGGCTTCCCTGCAGTGCATGAAGACCCAGCAAGCCTCAAAGACATGCACCTGACTTTAGCTTTGATAGCCCATAGCAAAGGCTTGGCTTGGTCTACAAATTCAAACAAACAGTGAGAGATCAGAAAGCAAGGACATAAATAGTCTAGTGGAAAGCGTCGAGAGTGGCCGAAGTGCAACAGACGACACAAAAGGTGCACTTCCAACAGCTAGCGCTCAAGTTGTACGAACCATGCGCCCGTGTCTCCACACCCCTGCCTCATTGGTGAGGTCCGCGTGCTCTGGCCCAGCACATCTCGGCTATGGCCGCGACTCGATTTGTCGAGGCCAGCCTTCAAATTAAAAGGCAGCTACTACTTCATCAGAAGCTAGGCCCTGAGCAGCCGGCGGTGGTTGCAATTACTGCAGAAGGAACGGTACCGTTTCGTGGCACCTGCATACATGTATCTTTGCTCAATCTTGCGAAAGCGCTAATCACTACTCCTTACCACGCAGGCATGTTTCAAAAGCCTGGCGGCTCTTGGTAGGCACACTGTAGAAGCGTTTCTGTGATTCCTTGGGCTCCTTCGACGACGACACCACAGAGGTGCTACGTCGGAGGCACTCGATCTTCGGGCCGCCGACCAGCCTGACCGCAGTTTCACACAACGCTACTTGCGGGCACATGTTCATGAAAATGATAGTTCCGCCTCTGGATGTCACGGAGCTCGAAGGCTTTCCTACAGTTGGATGCTGCTTTGCATAGATTCAATCTCACCATGAATACAGACCTCCAGGCGGATTGTCAGTACGAGACAAATCGGAAGCATGCCATCAAGGAGCCCTTCGTCCAACATGTCTGCAATCATTTGCAGAAGTCGCGCTTGCTGATCATCTCGCAGCTGCGCTGCACAATTCCGCAGAGCTATGCGAATTCGTGTCAGGAGAAGCAACAGCTGCTCGACAATTCGCTCCTCGTCACAGGAAGGCTGAAACAGCGCAAACTCTGGAAACAATTCGACACACTGGACACGCTCCGATCAAAGTTTCCTCCACAAGTTGTGCTTGAACAGGAGCGAGATCCCCACCCACGGAGAAGACAGCATAGACCGTGGCCCACCACTGCCATACTGCCTCACAACCAAGCAAGGCCAACCTTTGCCTGGAAAGGCTCCATACCGCAAGTGGCCCGAGCCTCACGATAGCAGGTCCAAGCGTGGAAGATTGGAGTCCAGGGCTGCAGCTCCTGCTCCTGCACTACGCTGCTGCAATGGCGGCCTTTTGCAAGGCCCTGCACAAGAGTCCTCAGCCTCATCAGCCAGGCAGGCCATGGCCACTGTGCATAGCAACTCCTGGGTCAATCAACCCCTACCGAATCCTGCCCTCATTCTTAACCCAAGACAGTCTTGCATCATGGGGCCCAGGATGTGCGTCTTTGCAGCAGAAGGCTCCAGCGCAGTGACGCCCAAGCCGTGAATGTCCAAGCGACGCCTCATGTGCGGATGTCAAGAGGCGGGGAAGACACTGAACACATCCTGCAGCATGCTAAACCAGCAGCAGCACGATCTGAGCTCAGCTGAATCAACTGGCCTCCACTGATTGCCCTGGCCTGCCCTCTTACATTCCTGGAGTTCTCAGTCGTTGGCTGCATCGTCTGCTTTACTTAGCGGACTTAGCGTTTCCTCTTCACCTGGCTGCACTGTACTCACTGTATTCATCCCTCTGCCACGTAGCACATGACACTGCAGGGCTCGTCTGCAGTGCTCCTCAAACGAAGTGGAAGGGAGAATGAATACTTTTAACCGTCATCCCACATGACCTGCCACTCGCCCGGATTTCCTCCACAGTATTTGAGGATATCTACCGTCCTGTCCAAAACCATCAAGAGGCTTGCTCACGCCCTGTTGATGTTTTCATCTCTCCCTGCTGGCCCCTCCCAAGTTGCTGGCAGGCTTCTGCGGACAAGAGGCTTCAGGGGGAGGCACTTGTATTGGTGCTTAGACTGCAGGGCCAATCGTGGGCATGCCAGAAGTACCGTGCGGGAAGTTTATTTGGCGAGCCTACAACCAGTAGAGTTATGGAAACCCTTGAACAAGCTATCAAGATCGATGCAAACAAAGCACGACGATCGCTCATTCTGTTTTCAAAGCATACACAAAAACATGTGAAACTTGCAATGGGTTGCAAAAATGAGTCCCAGACTGGTATTGGTCGCACAGGTCTGGGCGGTGGTCGAAACCCTCCGGACCTGCAAAATGCAGGCAGCTCTCGGACTGTTGGGATGTGATTCAAGTTTCACAGCCACCAAGAGAACTTGTGCATGCAACATGTAAGCGCCTACCAGATGCATGATCCATGAGCTGGGCGGCCAATATCGGCTGTCACCACCGATGTACTCGGTCCTGCAGAAAAGTCAGAACATGGATTCAGCTCGGTGCTAAGACACGAAGGGTCCGGTGGTCCGGTCCTCCACCTACCCTTCTCAGAGACCCAACTTTGGGAGTCTACTGCCAGGCCGAAGTCGATGAGCCAGAACGAAGCATCCCCGATATCAGCGTGGTCGCACGGAGCTCCATCAATAAGAATGTTGTGAGAATTCACGTCCTAAGCTATCACGAGGATTGTTGAGCATGTGCTCCTTTTGGGTGTCCTTAAGGACCTTGATGCTGAGAGTGGCATGCCGCAGCTGTGCGCGCAACTCCATTGGCTAAGCATCACTTCAACCAGGTTGTCATCTAGCTCTTCTGAAGGACATGATAGCGCAACTGGTGCAAAGAATCCAAAAGAATCCAGGGTTATCAGGTCCAAGATTCTCGGTGCCAAGCAATCGGGCCTAAAAGTTGCAGCGCTGGCCCGATGTCCCGCAACAGACAAGCCACCAGACCTCGGCTATCGTAGTCCCCTCCCGAACTTCAAGATGCGGCTAACACCTCACGCAATGTCTACGTATCTCTACCTCGATCAATCAACTGTATGCAAACCAAGCTGCTAAGTGCTCTGCGTAGGCCGGCTAAGACTGTGAAACCAGGAGGAGGCTTCTGCCTCTCATACCCAGTCTCTTAGCCTAGCAATGCCTAGCAGCTCTCTGTCTCTGTCTAGAAAGCTGTTTCTCACAACATTGGCATGAGTGCTGCACGACACACTGCTTGAAGAGTACGTGCGCAAAGTGCGTCTATCAGGGATCTATGAGGCTGCATCTGCTTTGACCGCCTTCAACAGCTGTGCGGGTAACAGAGGGTTGGGTAGCTGGTGCCGGCACAATCCACAGGCTAACTGTTCAAGACCTGTATACCTTTGTATGATGGGCCCTTGGCTCAGCCTCCTGGGAAACTTGTTCTTTGGTCAGCCCACGGTCTTGGCATGTGTTCTACGGCGTGTACCAAGCAGATCTTGTTGTGCCTGACCTCATCCCATATGAAAATTCGCAAGCAATGGCCGATCGGCATGACCCTCTCCGCCTCTCTGCGCCCGCAAGCGACTGCCTTGATTTAGAAGACCTGGCCATACCTGTAATTTAAATTTGCGGGTCCATCCCTCCAGCATTTTGCCTCCAGTTGTTATACCACAACCCGTGAATCTCCTTTTTTGGCAACACGAGCAGGAGTGGAATTTTCACGGGAGCATCATGAGGGGCGGGATGCCGCTCTTTGAAGCAAGGGGGAAGAATTGCATTATAGCCGGCATCTATGAAAGCTGGGCTTTGCTAGACTTTGTCACCTTACTCATCATGAATGTGCTGTCTGGGCAAGGTCTATCGAAATGCTACTGTACGCACTTTCAGCGCAGCTTTTGAAGAGGTTCTTGCTGCAGCATCCAGCAAGCACCGTCTTGGACACTGTACTGGAAACAGCTCATCGCAACATCTGGTCTCAGCCCGACTTGCATGCTTGACATGCCTGGCAAGCATTAATATGGAAATGGCGCGCCTCAGGAAGTAGTCCAGCGATTGTCCGGGCACCAGCGTCATGGCTGTTCGCACTTTCCAGCCGCCCGAACACATATTCACCTGAGACCAGCGCAGCTTTCTGTAAGCGTCAGGCAAGACCACTCCGCACCTTGTAGGCAATGCAGCGTGGCACCCGGAGCTTTAGCCGGTGTGGCGATGCGGCACGCTCCTGCTAGAGTTCACTGTGGAGTTGGTGAACCAAGGAACCGCGGTGGATGCACACGACCCAAAGCACAGACTTTCAACCCGCCCGCTCCAAGGCAAGGAGCACCTGCACCTCGAAAATTGCCTGACACTTGGTGCGCATGGTGCACAAATGTGTGGGCAAGTAAACACCAGCATGTCCATCCCAGCCTGTCGCAACTCACTTTGGTTACGGCAGAGAACCTCCTTCAAGGCGACTTCTGAAGGCTCCTGCTGGTCCTTTGCGCTAAGCACCTCCCGAGAAAGCCAGCTGGCAAACTCAATTGTTTTGAGGGCTCTTTCCCGCCTGGGCCCTCCAAACCTCACCATAGGAGCCCCTGCCGAGCACGTCACTGCAGCGGAAGCGAAAGTTGCCAATCTCCACCTGAAAGTTTGTCAAGTGTTGCTTCTCAAACTTCAGAGCAAGTCAGAGATGCCTCGGCCCCGGCACTATAAACATCCTGGCAGGCAAGCCACAAGCCAAACAGCCTACTCCCACAGGCCGACCCTGCCGGCCCTGCTTCCTCTTCAGCCAGGCATTGCAAGCTCGCATCTCCTCAATGCTCGCAGAGCTCAAAATGAACTGCGCGTTCACCCTTGCGCATGCGCATTCAAACTCTCCTGGATCTAGAGGGGTGCTCCGCGGCTGCCGCGGGGACACTTGGCAGGACACAAGTTGTCGAGGCACATTTGCCTCAAAGGCGGAGGGCAATTCGTGCTCCGAAATGTGCTGATGGCGTGAGGCCAGAGCCACGTAGCAGGGTGCTGCCAGGACGGCATTGACCACGCCTGAAAGAGCTCAACACCTGTCCCCTCATGATGACTCTCAGTGTGCAACTGCAAGAATGCCTGGAGAAGCGCTTCTGCGAGTCACGGTCACATGGCTGGGCAGCAACATAACTGAGACAAGCTGTACCAGAGTTTCACACTTTCACGTGGCACGTTCAAATCACAAGCCTTTTCCGTTCTTATATCAAGCTCCTCTTTGCATAATTGGCTGTAGGCTGTGCTGCGCTGCCGAACGGCCGCGCGTCACTTTGGGGTTAGGATCATGACCTTTGCGTCGGGTGTGAGCTATTGCTGCAACTGCAGATGCTGCGGGCATAGCACTAATGGTGAGTAGGCAGCAACTCAAAGCGACTGTCTCCCTGTGAGCACCAACAGACTTGCTGTAGTTCTATAGAGTATATAGAGGCCTTGGACTGGTCCAGCACACTGGTACGAGCAACTGGCACAAGCAGCTGGCGTCCACCGGGCAGATCTCGACGTCGCAAGCACGCCACTCCCTGCTGCTCCCTTCGCAAGTCGCACCTGCCCCAGATCTCTCCAAGGACTGTGTGAATGTCCTGCAAGCCTGGCATCCTGCGCCACAGACACCCCTTGTCACAAAGGCCTCCATATTGCGCAGAGACCACCTGTGCTGAACAAGCTTACTTCAAGATGAGGCTTAACTTGCTCTTTGCATCCTCGAGCTCCGCAGGTTGCTAATACCCTGCCTCCACTCTTGTTCTGTCTTGGGTGCCCCTGCACAAGTCGGATACTTCGCAGATCTTAGAATGGGCTTTCAAAAAGGTAAAGCATGCCGAAGCTGCTCCCCGCAAGTCACACTGCAGCCATTCCATGGTAACCAATCCTTGGGTTTCATCTTCTCTTGAGCTTTTGGGCATTTGCCATTCGATTCGAGCACTGAGGCCCCTAACACCCCAAATGCAGTCAACTGGGCAGTCCAAGGGTGCACACATGTCCTCCTGCACAGGCACTGATAGGCACTTTCATTGAGTGCTTTCATGCAACGCTCGCTGTCCTTGGTCTGTTCCAGCTCCGTTGGGCAGGGTGTGCCCTGGCCCTCCGCCTGGTGAGGAATCAGGCTTCAACCCGCAGGTCTTGCACTACCTAGCCTTGGATATCCCGCCTGCTTCAAGATGCCACGAGACCTGTCAGAGCAACACGCGGCACCTAACACACTTTCAGTTTGCTTGCTAAGTGACCTGCCTGTGCTGGGTTCCACCCGAGCAAGTTTTTGAGCACTCAGACCAGTCTGTCCATGACTCGGTGGAGAACTCAAGCTGCACCAAGGACACAAGGCTCGCCAGGGCAAGTGGTAAGCTGCTTGCACTAGCTCACCAGCTCGCTTCGCTACTGCTCTCAAGTAAGGCAGCCGCTGTCAGTTGGCAGTTAACGCAGGTGTTGTTGCAGCTCATCTCCTGCGTTGCGCACCATCTGTTGGAGATACATCTAACAGTGGCACAGAACGATCGGGCTTTCCCTGCACGTCCTCCGCTGTCTCGCCACAGGCAGCGCCCCCTGCATATGGCTGAGTTATGATGGACCGGCTCCTGGACCAAAACAGCTTCGCAGCTTCCATGACTTCTTCAGCTCTACTGCTCCCCCAAAGCGCCCCAGCTGTCCTCTGCTGTTTACCATCGCAGTATGGCGTGCAAGGCGTCCAGCCACCCCAGTCCGTCATTTCGCAATCAACCGGGCATGCAATCCTTGCCACGGCAACAGCTGCAGCTACGATTACTTTAGAGACCAGCTTTGGCGCTCGGGCCGTTTGGGATCCTTTCGGCTGCGATTGGCAGCCGTCTTGTGGGGGCTCTAGGTGGCCAATCTTTCTGGACTATTGCACTCAAGCGCTGAACAAGTCGAGGCACAAGTCGGCACAGATGCCAACCTGCAAGCAAAAGCGTTTTGAATTAGGAGACATGAGACATAAGATGCTCCTTACCCTCGCACTGCAATTGGTACAAGTAAGAAGGTCTTAGGCAGAAGCCTTCCTGCCAACCCAATTCCAAAGGTATCCTGTTGAGTTCCTTGCCCTCTTCCTACCTATCAGTTCTCTTGGCAGCAAGTGCTTCAAAACCTGTCTCGGGGTTTACCCACCAGCTTAAGCAACACTGATCTAGAAATGGTGATTCAGTGCTGATACTGATTGCCTCGGTGCCATTGCCGCTGCACTTCTTGCCACCACCGTCTGCTGGCACCTAGAAAATCGCAAGCGCAGTTGCGGCAACAAGGCTGCGAGCTGGAATATGACGTTAGATGGGCTGCCAAGTAACGCAGACTAGCGCGATTTCTTCCGGAAAACTGAAGCCGTCCAAGTCCACCCAAGACGCGGAGCTAATCGAGAACCACGCACAAACCTTTCTGGAGGTCCCCAAAACCGCCGAATAACCCTCAAAGCCTCTAAACAGCAAAAAATGAAAACCATAAACCCAATGCCCCGTTCCTGATAAGCTACAATCCCTCAACAACCCTCAAGACCACAAATAGCAATAAGCACTTGCTTCGAGCATCCCCATCCTAACATGTTTACTAACGGTAACAGTATGGAGCCTGATACGTACCAGCAATGTAATTGAAAACGTTGCGCCAATCTGCAGACAAATACAACAATTGTAAATTCCAAGCTCTACCGCTGGGCTGGGCGCATTAGGGACAACGTGTTTCCACGGGGCTTGGCATTTCATGGTTTGCTTGTCACCGCAGTGGCACTCTGGCGGTAGGCACTGTGAGGAAACTTGAGCGTCTGGCACAGCTGGGATGCTGTGCGCTGCACAACGAGCGTGGAACGCTTAAACCCCAAACTCTCAACAGCTGGCACCGCTATCCTGACTCTACTTTTTATAGAATCCTAAGCCTGACGATCCTGGAAACCCACTCTTTCAAACTTGGCCCAAAGCCTCTATAATCTCCATGGCCAGCCCTCTGAAGCCTCAAACCTCGCAAGCCTAAAAATCCTTAACGATACAATTCTTGAACCCCCTGTGATGCCTGGACCCCAAACACAATGGGACTCTTCAACAGAAACCACACTTACAAATGCGAGCCTCATTAAAACCCTGCGAAAAGCCTTAAAAACACAACCCTACCATTTCCAAATCGTCAAGAACCCTCAGCCCTAGCTATTCACAAACCGATTCTTCTACCCTAAAACCTCTGAACCCTGAAGAGCTTTAGCCCCGAAAAATATCTCACAGCACAAAAACGGCAACCTCTCCCCCTGAAAATATGCAAGCCAAACCAAAAGATCAAACAGCTAAACCTGCGACCACGACCACGGAACATGCACATAGCTACATGAAAACAGCCAGCGCATGCTATAGAGTTTTGACTTCAAACACTCACACACACGCACCATCTCTGCTACCCAACGGCGCCCTTGACGCTAAACCTCTTCAAAGACACGGAAATGCCAAACCTGCAGAAAGACTTCAACAATATGAACCCCAGACCCTGAAACAAAAGCGCACAACAAACTACCAACACAACCAACATGGCCGACATCGACACAACCAACATGACCGACCACAACAGCAAAAGGAGTAGCGCAACATAGCACAACCAATCATATCGCAAGACCGACACGACCTACACAAGAAACACAGCCAATGCGACTGGCGTGGGCCCATGACTTGACCGACACAATGAACATGACTCCATGCAGCCAGACCTAGCTTAGCGATGCCTGGAAAGGATGGGTGCCCAAGGCCTTTGAGGGGCTCACAACATCTCACAACCACTTAGTCTTTGCAGGAAGCGGCCCGCGAGGGTTCCCGACTAGTACGCACGGTTCTTGACTTGCCCCGCGTTCCATCTGAGATAGGCACGGCAACTTCTCGGCTCCGTGTGCGCGTGCCGCTGTTGCAGGACCTCAGAAGGAAAGGAAAGACCATGGGCAGATCCTGCGTATTGCCAGGAAATGTCAGCAGCCTGTGCTTTCAGAGGCTGGGATGGCGACGTGGAGCAATTGCTCCACTGTGTCCAGCTACCCCACTCGCAATCCACACCTTGCTTGGCTATTCTTACAATAACTGGAAATAACACAAGGCTGAAGTCTGCAACCTGTCAAAATCACACTGTTGCAGACAAAGTGCAGAAGTTTGTGCAGTTGTTGACTTGTGCCTTGAGTGAGCAGGGCAAGCCACCGTTCTGGGGCTCCCTGGTGATGTTCCGTGTCCTCTCGAAGAAGTGCCGAATACTACCATCACGCATTGAATGACAAAACTTCCAACACAAAAAGTCTCTGGCTGGCTTGTTTTGGGAATTGACTCGAAGAGGAAGTCTATTGGCGCATAATAGGAAGTTTAATCCGGGAAGTTATGGAATGGTTTCAACTATCGCCCTGGGGCCGAGATTCCGGGAGAATTTGGATTGCTGTCAAAACGGGGGAAAGGATCTAAATGTTGGCCTTAGATTAGGCTCGTGGAACAAATCCGTTTGTAATTTTCCCAGAACCGGATTAGTGAATCCCGCCCCGGCCGCAAGTGCAAAAATTTGCAGCGACCAGTGTGTCCAAAAGCTCCTGGTCATTAGTACCGCGGGAGGTAACATGGTTGACACACTCCCGGCCCACATTCTTGGGCGAGGGGGGCCTGCTTCGTGATTGAGTATTATGCAGTTTTGACTTGCTTGCATTTATCACGGACCCAGAAGATGAGGCTCTTCAACAGCCCGTGCTTCGATCTAGAGTCTGAGTCGTTCTTGCGTTACCCACACCCAAGTACCACCTCCTGGATGACACTTTCAAGCCGCAGGCAATCTATTTTCCCTTGTTGTCTGCCTTGAGGTGCGGTTCAGACTTCAGAGTTGACGGTAAGAAAAAATTCATGCACCAGAAAAAATACCAGCACACCAAATCACACACAAATTGGATCTCGAGCACCAAAACTCCCAAGTGCAGCACTAGGATGTATAATGTCTGCGCACCATCATGGGAGAATAGAATGAAACAGGCACCAAAACTCGTGTGCGCGGTGGTGGTACACAAAAGGCAGCAGTTTCAAGCTCCGACAAGACATTTGCTGCCCCATCACCTGCGAAGCCCAACCCGTGCGAACTGAGGACGATCGACGCAAACTTGTAAGAAAACACGAGGCACCGGCAAACTCACAATGTCAGCGTGGATGCCAAAAGAGTCGTAAAACAGTTTTACGCCAGTACGCCGGCACGCCGCTTGGGATGCCGAAGCAAGGAAATATGCCGATACGCCAGTACGCCGCTCGGAGCACGGAAGCAGGAAAATACGCCTTTTTTTGCTAGTGCCGTGCGCGCGGTTGCTGCACGCGCTTTGGCGCTTCTCCACAAACAAGCGAGTTCCGCATATCTCTAGACATGATGATGTACTTCCAATTAGGGTTAGCGGTGTGGTCTTGATTCCACACCTGCGGAAAATATCTCCTTGTTGTAACCACTAGCCAGTACGGGATGCTTCGTCCTCTACGCTTCCCCTTTTGAGGAATACGGTCTTTTAGGCAAACAACAAAGACAACATTATGTATGGGGTCTTCTTCTGGGCTTGCTGATAAACCTCTTAATTAGGGATCCTTGAGTAGTATAAGGCCTTTATACCCACGATTCTCCTCAGGAATCTGAAATAGAAGGTGTCAATCTGATTTAAATGTCCCTCGGTCAGTGTGCAAGCATCAAGCCCGTATGTTAACACTGCCGGGAATATAGCTTGGAAAATACGGAGTTTGAATCTTCTGGTGAGTGAGCTATTCCATACCAACCGTAGTTTTTTTGTCGGCTTCTTCGGCAAGCGCACATCCATGCTTGAAGGCCGTGCGGAAAGGCATATTCCAGGAAACCATAGAACCTAGATACTTAGCTTGCGTTGTGGTCGGGACCAAGTCCCCGTTCTCAAGTCGAATGTTTTTCGACATGGCGGCATTCATTACCGAGCAACTCGGTTTTGGTGGCGTTTAGCCTCATCCCATAGCAAATAGCTTCTTTTTCAACAGCCCTTAACATTTGCTCCAGTTGCGGCGTGGTCAATCCTAGGAGTAGGGTATCCTCCGCGTACTCTACATCATAGGTGGGGTGATGCATGGACCAGGTGTTGGTCGGGGTACCCTGTCTACGTAGTGTATCATCTACGTCCTTCAGAATGACAGTGAAGAGGATAATGAAGAGGTACGGGCTTAGTGGACATCCCTGTCTGATACCTGCCGCTACTTCCCCCTGCGCGATTCTCCCGTTAAGGCCCTTAATTTTAAAGGTGGGGGAATCATAGACAATGGAGTTAATAAGATTAAGGCAATCAATCGTTTGGTACTCCAAACCTCTTCAAGGCTGCCATCATGGCGGTATGGTTGATAGAATCAAAAGCCTGTTTCCAGTCGAGAAACAGCAGGTGTAGGGGCTTATCCGTCATGTTAGAGAATTCCATAGGTCTACATAATATGAAGGGGGGGTGCCTTGTTCCTCGTTTAGCCCTGAAGCCATACTGGGAATCTCGTAGCTGGTTATCTAACTCCTGCAGGAGACAGCTCTGAATGGTACTAGCAAAGAGCTTATACATGGAATTAAGAAGCGAGATGGGCCTGTAGTTAGCTGGATGGAAAACACGCCTATACGCCGGTACTTCGCCTGGGGGCGGGAAATGGCCAAATACGCCGACACGCCGGTACGCCGGTCGGGGGGCGGAAGCATGGAAATACGCCGATACACCGTTGCACCGCTCGGGGCACCAACAAAGCCTAGCAGGGAATTACGCCGATATGCCGGTACGCCGCCCAGGGCGCGGAAGAAAGGAAATACGCCGATACACCGGTATGCCGCTCTCGGCACCGAAGCACGGACATACGCCCGTACGCCGGTACGCCGGTACGCCGGTACGCCGGTACGCCGCTCGGGGCGCCGAAGCAGGGAAATAGGCCGATACGCCGGTACGCCGCTCGGGGCGCGGAAGCACGAAATACGCCGATACGCCGGTACGCCGGCAGGGGGTGGGAGAAGGGGGAAATAGGGCGATATGCTGCTACGCTACTTGGCTGGCGGAGCATATCTCAGAAGATGGAAACGCCACACCGTCAAATTGGTCAATGTGACCAAATCCGGGGTGAGGGCGATTTGGGGGCGTCTTCGAGGTTCTGGGGTCATGTGGGGACTCCTAGGGGCCTCGGAGAAGTCCTGGGACGGCTTATGGAATATTTTACGGACTGGAAAGACTGGACAAGGACACTCCGTCAAGTGAGGAAATCGTAGAGGGAGTGGCTTTCAGGGTCTCTTGGGGGGATTGTTGAGGATGTCTTGGAACGGTACGTGCAGGATATTGCGGACCAGAAACGATGGAAAACGAGACTCTGCCAAGTTAACAGGCCTGTTTAACAAGGTTCGGGTGGAGAGCGTCTTGGGGGTCTTGGGGAGTACGGAATACGCTAACATGCCGTTTTTACGACGCTGTTTGCGTCCATTCTGGGTGTGGTAATGTGACGGGAAAGCCCGACTGCGAAACCACGCGTCGCTGCACCGGGGCACACACACCGGGTATGCGCCGGGTACACTGGGCATGCGCCGGGTACGACGGGTATATGCGCCGGGTATGCCCCGCGTCATTATGGTTTAGGCATGGATGTTCAGGTCAGCGGGTGCTCTTGGAAAATCAAAGCTGTTCAGGTTTGGGCAGGGATGCACTGGTGACCGTATGCTCTCGGAACACAAACGTCATTATGGTTTGGGCAGAGATGCTCCGGTCAGCGGGTGCTCTTGAAACATGAACGTTATGTTGGTTTGGGCATGGATGCACTGGTAATCGTATGCATTCGAACATGAACGTTATTCTGTTTGGGCATGGATGCAGTGGTGACTGTATGCTCTTGGAACATGAAGGTTATCATGATTTGGGCATGGCTGCACTGGTTACTGTATGCTCTTTGAACACGAACGTAATGATGGCTTGGGCATGGATGTTCTAGTAAGGGCATGAATGCACTGGTAATCGCCATGCATTCGAACATGAACGTTATTATTTATGGTTTGGGCATGGATGCACGGGTGCCGAATGCTCTTGGAACACAAACTAATTATGGTTTGGGCATGGATGCTCTGATCTGCGGGCGCTCTTGGAGCATTAATCGGTGTATCGGTGCCAGCCTGCGCCGTTCAGGGCCCGGAGCATGGCACCGGTGTATCAGTGTCGGCGCGACTGTGCGTCGTTCGGGGCCTGGGGCACGGCATCGTTGCATCGGCGTATGGATGCGTGCGCGCACCTTTCAGGGCCCGGGGCTCGGTACCGGTGTATCGGTGCATCGGTGCGTGCATGCGCCGTTCGGGGCCCGGGGCGCCATACCAGTGTTTAGTGTATCATTGTATCAGTGCCAGCGTACGCCGTTCGGAGCCCCGGGCGCAGTACCGGTGTATCGGTGTATCGGTGCCAGGCTGTTTTTTACGACGCTGTTTGCGCCCACTCTGCAATGTCATAAAAAACTTTAAGAGGACAGAGTGCAACTTGCAATTCAATGTGCTGAGTTTCTGAGGATCGAAAGAAACACCTGCAAGAAACAGGAGCTTGTACTTTCTTCAAGTCAGTCGGGCTGTTATTGCTGAGAAAGTCAGTCAGTCAGTCATACGCCGG